CCCCATCCCATGAGTTGAAAGTCTAAAGCATTCCTGCACTCAGGCAGCACCAATTAGGCACACCTGCAGGACATGCTCCACCCAGAGAAGTGGACCTTAAAAAGGGTGAGACTGGCCACAGAATAGGGGCGGGGAGAATAGGGTGAGACTGGTCACGGAAAAGGGAGCCTGCCAGGTTTGCTAATGAGCTCCCATAGCCAGGGGGAGCTCAGCCTGAGGCAGTTGCTAACCTTTTTCTTCCATGCGCCCCCATCCTTGTTTGGGGCAGACTGGCATGACAAACTCGATATGAGCGAAGGCTCTAGAGGGCTTCTTCCAGTCAGAAACCTGCGGTGGGACCTGGGAAGCACTGGCAGTGACTAGAGACAAAGACACTTTAAATTGGGCTCTGAAACAACTCCAGGAGTGAGCTGAACTGCTGGGAGCAGTAAGATTGCTTAGGCGTGGGGGCTCCTGGAGGGGAGCCCGGGCAAGAGACTCAAAAATACTACATCTGAACCCAAGCAGAGGGTCAGCCAGCTACAAGGACCAAGATGGGAGGTCCTGAACCTCTGCTAAGAACATGTGTAAGTTTTGGATGTCCATAGCAATCTTTAATGGCCTGTCTGTTTATGTTGCTTGGGTGGGTTGGGGGAAGGCAAGAGAGACCCTAATGAGCGTGTCAAACAATTTGTCCAATACATTTGGTGCAGCAGCATTTAGGATTCAAAGTTGGATATACAGAGTCACTCTTTAGGAAGATCTACTGGCTGGTGGTCAAGAAACCTGGCTAGGAAAGAAAAAATTCAGTAGTCTTTGCTCACTTGTCCTCTGGGGACACTTGTCTGACTGGGCTCTTGCATGTCAGATATTTTGTCTCAGACATTCTTGCATCATAATTAGAAACTATATCAACAAGAGGGATTCATTTTGGAATGGGAAACATAATGATGCCCATATACACACAGTGCAGGAATAGGGGGTTACACTCATATCAAGGATTGGTGTATTCAAGTCACAGGACTAGAGCAGGAGTTCTCACATTCTACATTTCCAAATCATTGTAATTTATTTATGTAGCGTTTTTTTTCAGACTCAATAATAAAAATAATGTACAGTTGTATTTTAGTGCCCTTGGTCCCCACTGCCTCCCTTGATCTCACTCACCCATTGCTTCTGCCGCCCCCCCCCCCATGTCTCCCCCAGGCTCCCCATTGCCCCCTGGGGCCCCATTACTCCCCCTACCTTGCCCCGGGCTCCCTTCCCCAGGCTTGCACCCTGGGGTCACCCCGCCCCTTGCCTTTTGACTGTGGTGAATAGTAAGGCCAGCCCTGCTGCTCTGGGACGAAGCCCTATGGCTGGATCCAGAGGCGGCAAAGCCCAGAGCCTCACCATTCAGAGGGGTGGAAGCCCAGAGCCCTGCAGCTGAAGCTGGGGTGCGGGCTGAAGCCTGGAGCCTGCTGCCAGAGCCCCAAAGCTGAAAGACGGGGAAGGGGGGGACTGAAGCAAGAGCCCCATAGCTGAAGGAAGGAAGGGGTCTGCCAGGGGCTGGAGCTAGCCGTGCAGCAAGGTGAGCCCAGCACCTGCTGGAAAGCGTGGGGAAGGGCCGGGTGGGAGGCTGC